GTGACGTTACTTTCACGCGGGACAAAATCTTTTCCCCTGCTTTCTTAACCATCAGGACCGTTACAAAGATCAAAATTATTTATCTAAACAAAGCGAACAATAATGTAGGAGCCATAACTAAATGTATTGAATTTTGATGATCTCTGGGTTTTCATTTGTTTAGTTGCTATGGTGATGTGTAATGGGAGTCACGTGGGTGCTAGCGGTGACATTAAAAGGGCGTTGTCAGACAGAGAGGAGGGCTGGGTAGCCGTAGTTTTTGTTGACCGCTGCACAACATGTTTCACTTTGTTACATTAGAGCCTGTGACGTTGTAAGAGTCCAAATCGCGAGATGATCACATTACTCTGTAAACTCTCAAGGCACTTTAATAAATAAGCAAACAATTCCACCCCTCGCATTATTGCGTAAAGTTGACAGCGCATCAGGCAAATAGGCAAGCTCCATCCCCAGCCTCTAGCGACTGTGGAAGTCGCTACAAATAATTTAAGGTTGGTAACATTAAGTTGATTTGAAAAGGACTTCCGATGACGTCACCGTAGCATTCGGTTGAGCTCTGAACTGCTCCTGCAAGAAACTTTGCTAAATCCTTAAAATTAAGGAAAAACGCTCCAAACCACGAAAACGAAATACGCTATAGACCCACAATGCCTGGCTCTGGTAAAACTACCAAGGAGAAGACTAAGTCAACCACGCAAACCAAGATATCGGTGTTTGGCGGTGAAGCTAGCGCGTCCGAGGCCTGCGCGGCTAACAAGCCAGCCACCATGAGCGAACACGGCCATAGTGGCAACATAGTGGCAACATAGTGGCAACATGGAGGAGAGGTTGCAGCGTGCCATACGAGAGGAGTTTGCAGGTATTGAAAACAAGCTTGCAAACACGCAAACTGCACTTTGGGACAAGCTGGAGGGCGCAGTGGCCAAGTTTTCCAGCAAGGCAGATGAGGTTGTGGCAGCCATGAATGAAATGCAGAAAAAATTATCTGACTGTGTGGGGAGAGTAGAGCAAACGGAGAAACGCATTTCAAATGTAGAAGATGAACATGTGGTGATGGGGATCACCATTTCAAGATTAGAGAAAGAAAATAAAGTACTGATGGATAAAGCAGTGGATTTGGAAACCAGATCCCGACGCAATAACCTCAGGTTGGTCGGAGTTCAAGAGGGAGATGAGGGCGCGGACACCTGTGGATTCCTGGAAAACTGGATAATGGACGTATTGGAGTTGAACGCATCAAGGAGCCCTCTGGTTATCGAGAGAGCACATCGCATTGGCCCAACAAGAAAGCCTGAGGAACCTCCAAGAACATTAATAATGTGCTTTCTTAACTACAAACAGAAAGATATGGTGCTCAGAGCAGCAAGATCGAAAAAGGATATTTTGTACAAGAACAAAAGGGTGAGATTCTATGCCACAGAGGTGCACAAACAACAGAAGAAGTTTGGAGGGGTACGACAACAACTCTGGAAGATGGGGCTGAGAAGTGGCATTGTACCACTAGCTAAACTGATAGTAACATACAAGGAACAAGTCCACAGATTTAGCACACCAGAAGAAGTCCAAAGCTTCATAAAGCAGATCCAGGAGAGCAAGAAATGAGGAAGATATTATAAGGTCTAGAAATCTGGGGTACTGATTCATTTTGGAAAAGGATATAGTTAACTTCATCAAAGCAAAAGGTAACTAAGAGCAAAGTGTTTTTTGTTTTTTTGGGGTTTTTTTTTAATCTACACGATAACTAGACAGACATAAAGATAATTTTTGCTTTTTATTTTATTCTACTCTTTTGTTCTTTACTTTTATTTTCATTTCATTTTCATTTATGTATCTAGTTTTATTTATTTATTTATTATTATTTTATTTTATTTATTTTTTTGTTTAAAGAAAACAAAAAAGCAGTGGGGGCAGTGGAATATTAGTGAAGCTAAAGGATTCATTAAGGATACAGGGAGCAAGGAAGAGCCAGGCATAAAGCCATAGTCATTTTAAGTTAGCAGATCTTAAAACTGGGATCTGTATATGGTTAACGTTGGAAGTAGAACATTTGCATGGGTTACCCAGGAACTGGGTGGGTGGGGTTTTTTGTGTTTTTTCTTTTGTACGGTTTGTTCATTTAAAGCTTGTGTTTTGTGTTCTGTTTTGTTCGCACTCTCAGACAAGTTTAAGTATTTAGCAATGCATGTGAGGCGTGTTGGCTCGGAAATTGGAAGTTAAATGTACCTCTTGGAATTGTAGAGGCCTAAAAAGTAATAAAAAGGTTAAGCAAGTAATGAACTAAATGAAAGATCTGGAAGCAAAAATAATTTTTCTTCAGGAGACGCACTCGCTGGAGGAGGAACATATTAAGGTTGGCAGGAGGTGGCAGGGTTCGTTGTATGCAGCACCATTTAGATCCAATGCTCGGGGAGTAATCACATTAATACATAAATCAGTACCTTTTCAGGTCAAAAATGTAATTAAAGACAAATTTGGTAGATATTTGATCATCCAGGGATTACTTGTACAAGAAACCATTAACTTAATTAATGTATATGCACCAAATACAGATGATGATACATTTTTTACTAATCTTTTTCTCACAATTTCATCACTCCATGGAAAATGCATCATAGGAGGAGATTGGAATTGTGTTCTGGATCCCAGTAAGGATAGACCGACTGGGACTGATCAGGCCCATAACAAAAGCTGGAATAACATGTATACTGAAAAGGAAATTGGATGTTTTTGAGAAGGTGTGGAGACCATTTGCGAATTTTGTAGAAGGATTTGTATTATCTGAGGAGGACGATAATGAGGACGATAATTTGGGATAATGATAAATTTAGGCCTTTAACGGAGTGATAAATCTGATGACTTTTTTGTTTTCTTTTTGCTGTCTGAGAGGAGTGTATGTTCATGTAGTATTTAGAATGTTGGACTGTTTGTAAGTCATTAAAATGTAAAAAAATAATAAAGATATTGTTGGAAAAAAAAGTTGATTTGAAAAATACTATAGTACAACGGTGTTATTAAGATAAAGTTGTGTTTTGTGAGGGCTGCTAGTTAGCAATCTAGCTAATGTTTTAACTTTAGCTAAATGATCTTATTTAAGCTGTAGGATATTTCCAAGTACTGTGAGTGGAGGCTTTGGAACCGAACCAGAGAACTGCTGTCACAGCATGGACAAGTTTGACGATGCCATACTGTCTGTGTTGCAGGGTAAGTCTTATTTTTCAGTTATTTTGGTACGTTAGCTAAGCAGCCTTAGCATCTGTTAGCATCGTTTCTGAAACTTGGAGCTAGGATTGTACTCTACTCTGAACTTTATCCACATCATAGCCTTGAGCTGTTTTTGCCAAAATAGACTTGGAACATCATTCTTGAAGACAGCCAAAAATAGTTTTATTGCATTCCCAAATATTTGATAAAATTTACATTAAAGGATTATTCTATTGTATTCTATTCTAGTTAACACATAAACTGTTTTAAGTTTGACATTTTATCCTGTTATTATTACTTATTGCTAAAATACATTTATTGACAAAAAATGACCTCAATATCTAATGAGCAACGCCCAGAAAAAGAGAAATAAATCTCACTTTTAAAGTTGTTTTTCTCTTTTACAGCTGCGAATATTGACGAGGAAGCTTTGAGAAGCTAATTATGAGTGGTGTCCCAGGACTTTAATATCACCAACGATTCCCATGTTATTAAAGTCCTGTTTGTGGCACATTAATATATGTGAG